CGGTAATATGAGTGTATCTGAGGTCAAAACATTCACAACAGACTTATATCGTACATATACTGCACAGCACTGTATTTACACTTGCAAAGAAGAACAGTCTCCGGAATTTATAGACTCCTTTCGAATGTTTGACTTTTACGCCATATTGAAACAATTATTGCCCCAAGACTTCAAATGTGATAATTTTGAAATACCACTAAGTCTTTTGAGTTTTTTAAATATCTGTTTTTATATTTTTACAACATTTTCAACCAATCTTTGTAAGATCGCGGACTAGCAAATTTTCATTCCTTATTTTTGCGGCCCGGCAAAATTTCCTAAACATTTCTGCAGGCCACCAAAGTTGCATAAAATGTTTGCCAACGCAAGGACGTTTTGCTTGAAATACTTTATCGCAGGCATTATTTAAAAATTTTCTGCTTTTTTGCCGAAATTAAGAAGGAATGAAGCAGCTATAGTGGAAAGTCTTCAAAAAATTAGAAAGGTGAGCTTGAAGAAAGGTTTCTCAGAATGAAAAAAAAAAAACAGAATAATTCATTTCAGCATGCGAAAATTTGTCTGAAGTGTTATTTGGAGAGGATTCAACTCTTGTTTTTCATCAGGTAATTTCAACTATCATCGTCTTTCCGAAATTTCAGATAAAGACAGCAAACTTAATTTGCTACTTTTGATAAATGTATGATGCTAAAGTAAATTTTCTCTTGGAGCAAAAAAATAAAATAAAAACTTGAATGAATTTAATGTATTCTTTCTTCATTGTGATACCTTCGTAAGGGAAAAATTGTTGAAAGCTCACTCTTTTTATCCTCTTTAGATGTCAACTGAGAAAATACTGGACAATGAGCAACATCAATTAACTCAATCATTGGTTCAAGTTTGTCTCCCGATCAGTGGAATGCAAAAAAATAAATAGTTTCATGCTCACCTGCTGATTTGAAGGTCCAATACCTTGACTTCGACAGGGATTTCGTTACCATCAGCGTCAAGCTCATAGCGAAACATGTAATTATTATTCCAGCAATCGCCATGACTAAATACTGCCAAATCTCCAAGTCTTTCCACTCCTGCCATCAGTCTGACATAAGGTGACTTGACCCTCACGACATAGTCTTGCAGACGTTTCACCAAATCCTCTCGATTTCTACCTACAATTTTAAATGCAATTCAGTCTTGTTTTTAAAGCTCAAATCTTGAAGCTTTTTATCTTCAGAGGTTGAATATCTATCTGAGATAATTTGTACAAACGGGGTTTCCGTCTTACCTTTCCCTTATTGATTCCTCTTGGATGATGGGGGAAGAGGGAAACTATATTTCTATAAAATAATATTTGTTCTTCAACTTTCCACAGTACCAAATTTTGAAAACTTCAGGGTCAATACGGTGAGAAAATTGATGTAGTTTAAAGAGTTTCTTTTTCACGTTAGGAAATTAGGTAGAACTTACATTTTCAGTTAATTTCGTTCGTGTCTAAGGGCAACCAAAGTGCTGAGAAATTTCAATTGTTAAGCAAAAACGAATACCTCACAAGAGGCTTCGATTGAAGAAAATCAATAGAATATAAACTGAGCCTTCCTTTCAAGTCTTAGCTTTCAAAAGCGTATTAATGATTATCATACTGTAGCTGGGAAATTGAGGATCGGACAACTTGTTACTACAGCAGGACAACAGCAAAAATTCAATATCACGAAACTTTACCAAGGTAATTTCCGATTAATCCACGTTACCAGGGGGTTTTGTTCCGCAATGAAAAAATCTACTCGCAACTCATTCTTTCAGGGAGAAAAATTCAAATAAGTAGATCTAGAAGTCATTTCATAAGGCGCGAAAGGTTTGCCCAAAAGTTCAATTCCTCTCAAGTTTCAATTCTGAATCTTTCTTACCTTCGGCGAAAGAAATGAGGCCTGGGTAGACTTGTGTATCAAGCATGACGCCAAAATGGTTTGTCAATGGATTCAAAAGAAGTGGTGCATTGTCCAACATGTACTGCTCTACGCCGACTCGTTGTTTGGCATTGAAAGCAGTCGCCGCCAAAATCGCTTCCCCTTGAGCGCAAAGTAGCGCATGAGCCAAATCCATCCCTATACAGTACATAAAATAAAACAAAAATGTATGCATTTTCAAAAACTGAAGAAATGCCGTATTAGAAACAATTGTATTCTTGAATTTTTCTTGATAAGAACCAGCACAGAAGATAAAAGGGGCCACCGTGGTACTGAAAAGTACGGTATAGAAAATTGAAATCATTATTGGTGTGCATGCCACTTCGAATGTGGTTCATTCATTTCTAATTCAACAACAATTAAATCATAATGGTTGCGAAAAGCTTCAGCGTTTCCACAAGCACAGCATAGAGTGCATAAACGTTTCCATCCAGCCATAAAATTGCATTTTTGCGTTTTCCAAATAATGTACAGTATTACGTTGGATGCATACCAAAAGGCGCTTGACAATTTCGAATCATCAAGACGGCGTAAAAAAAATGTCTCAAAACTCGAAACAAACGAACTGATTCAAGTACCAGTGAATAAAGTTATATTTTGACTGCTCGCAGATTTTAGAAACCCCTCACGTGATTCCACAGCAGTAACATTGCTTGAAAGTACACAGGAGGGACTTAGTGATAATCCAGCTTGAAATATTGTACATACTTACGATGACTTCGAGTGACATCTGCCCGCCTCAAACTTATTCGTCACTATATCGAAAAACTGGGGAAGAATAGTTGACAATGCGGTAGAATCTCGTTACATGGAAGCGTTTGCGTCTTTATTAGAAAAGCTTCATTATAAATAAATTCGTGAAAAATAAGTTAAAATAACATTATAACTATTGGACAGAGACTAGAAAACCCAATTCTTTGTAAGCATTGAATTTTCATATAGTAAAGATATTCGTTGTAACGAGATCCTACTGTCTAACAATTGCAGTATTCGAAGCAAATAATCTTTCAGGAATACCTACTATAGTATAATGACTCATCCATACCTTGGTTGAATTTTTATAGTGCTCAAAGCCCGAAATTCGAACGAATTTAGAGTTAGAAGAAAGTAAACGTGGGATAATTCGCTCGACGAACCTCTCATCTTGTCGTTCAGCTTGAACCCCGAATGCTTCAGATCTTCCATGACAATGCAAGATGCATCAAGTCCAGTTTCGCAAAAGTAAATCTTTGGAAACGGTGGACGGATTTTTGGCACCTGATCCTGACTAGACATCACGAGGTTCAAATGACATTGGTAAACGTGGATTTCTCGCTCAAACGCCCGCAAATGCCTCACCTGCGAATCAAAAGGAAGAAAAAAAGAATAAAGAAAAAAGTATTTATATTTTTCTTAAAAAAAAAAAAATCACGAACGAGTTTCTGGTGGACTTCTCCAGGTGGAAACAATTTGGCAATGAGGTGGAGCGTTTGCTGAGTGTCGGGGTCGCCTTCAGTGTCGTCGTCGCCTCGCTTTTGCTTCGCGGTGACGATGATTCTTTGCATTCTGCTCAGGAACCCGTCGGTTCTCTGGGTACCGACGCACACTTGCAAGTCTGTGATCAGGACGTTTTTGCTGTCGGTTCGAAACTCGTCAGCAAGGACGCGCGACATCCATTCACGCGTCACAGTTTCAGTGGACGTCGGCACGTGCGGAATTTCCATTGCGATTTTGTTTTAAATTTTTCGTAACCTGTGGATATCACTTTGCATACATGGAAATTGGTTCATTAAAACGTTAAAAAAGCGAGTCTACTTTGACTTTTGGCTTTAAATTTTATATACCCAGTGTGCTTTGGATTGCACTTGTTTTGCACGTAGAGGTTTTGGCCCTAGCTGCTTTGATTGTTGGATTTATCACATGAAAAAAATACTTCGAAATTGGCAGAGTATTTTGAACCGCTCTGAAGTGTTACCAAATGATGGGCCTAGTCTAGCATTGCTAGTGAGTAAACAAATTTTTTGGAATTGTTGAAGCTCCATTGGATCTATTTCAAAAAGCATCAAAACTTATGAACCAACCCTCATATTTGTGCATATAAGTGATGAAGTTTTCTTGCCACAGTATTATAGTTTAAAGTGTAAGTATGCCATAATAATAGCCATAATTTATCCATTAAGTATTCATTTATCTGAATTTACTCCTATTATCAAGTGTATACTGTGTTCAATCCTCGCACTTTTTAAATGAACTTTTTCGAAGAAAGTACTGTACTGTGAAACACTATCTTTCGATGCTTAGAGAGAAGTCCAAAATTATTTAAGATTTGATTATCACGAGCTAAATCTATGCATACGCAGAAGTTCGACTTAGTTTTATTCAAGAATAAAGTTTCGCATGAGGTCTTATTCGCAAAAAAAGCCACTAAGAGTACGAATTTCCCCCAGAATGTGATCACAATATTTGTTAGCGACACAATTTGCTTCAAATATTATTGTGACATCCATCCGATAAATGAAGTGTATTTTTTTACCAAAGCATATTTTCACTGCTGCAATTATCAGCCGCGCTATTTTTTATTGCTTGCTTCGCCGATCCATAAAAAGTACATTCTCTCGGAAAACTAAATGCGATCATTAGTTTTTTTTAAACCTATAGATTGATCTAGATTTGGAAAGCTGCACATCATAACTCTCAGAATAACTTCGAGTAAACAAATTTTAAGACCTGCAATAAGATAAATTATTCACGTTTAGAGTCATGGCGCGCGGATGAAGGTGAGGGAAACACTCAACGGAATACTGTATTTTGCATGAATTTATGCTCAGATTTCTATACACAGAAACTGACTTGGATTATAAAAAAATTGTCGGGAAGATCTTAAGGCGAACTCAAAGCAAATAATTATTGAAACATTCCTGCTCAGAGTCACGAGAAACCAAATTGCCTCGTTCACATGACAACGACACTAAGGTAATCCCAAGTGGGCCACCTTAAAGCACAGAACGATAGATAAGGTCGACGAGATTATTAGATAATAAGATAACGTCTTCACACGCTGAACAAAGTTCTTGTTCCCAATTGCAATCTTACCAAAAAATAAAGTTGGTATTGCACTGTTATAGCCCCAAAAATACCAGGGAAGTCGTGATTGACCTGAAATTGCTTTTGTATGGTCAACTCATTTTATCAATCCGCCAAACCGTCATCTATGAGAGTTCTGCTCAATGAAGGTGACAACTTTGCATCCCCAATTCAATGTATGTATTACAACACTTCCACTAACAGTGCTCCCCAACCTTCTTGGGCCTGCAGACCGGAAAATTTCCATAACATGTTTTGTGGACTGGCAAATTTTCAAAGAATGCTACGTGAACTGGCAAAGTTTTATACAATTTTTGCTCACTCAAAAAAGTTTTCCCGGGAATACTTCATGGCAGGTATTGAAAAAGTTTCTGATTTTTTGCAAAAGAATTAAGTTGAGAACCAATGAAGCAGGTATTGTGAAATGTCTTCAAAAATTAGAAAGATGGGCTTGAACAAAAAATTCTCCAATGAAAGATTTAAATAATTTATTTCATCAGGCTAAAATTTGTCAAGTGCTATTAGGAGAAAAGCCAACTTTTATTTTTCATGAGATAATGTTAGTTGCAATTGTCTTTCAAAAATGTATTGATAAAGATGCTGTAACATCCTTCATTGATAGATTTGATGAATTTTGTATGCTTGAGAAAATTTCCTGCAGACCAGCAAAAAACTTCTGGTTGTTTGCCAACCTGTGGACCAGCACTGGTTGGGGAACACTGTACAAGTGGTTCCTTGCAAGTTGACATCCTGCAATTTGATGGTCAAATTTGCAGGGAGGTTGACTTGCATTCAACCCTCACCCCACAATTAAAGCTGCTTTTTATATATTTTTTTGAATTTTTGTACTTATATTTTGAATTTGATGGAGTGTCTTGAAATTCAAGTGATTCACAATTTGACTCTTGTTTAGCAATGGATTAGGGTAAAATTGCAAGGTACAACTTGTACAATAGGGTACTCTCTGTACAAAGGTTTGGCATCCAACAGTTTTATCTATAATTCTATTTTTTGTGCAGTTGGGTTCTATTCCAAAGTTAAAGGGGCTCTCTACAAAGAAATTCTTTCCACAACAAATTTTTCTGGTCCCTTGTATTTTGTATTAGTCGAGTACATCTGTATAAGGAAATATTATCAGGATCTGGTTCTATTGCATTTTGAGAATGAATTTTTGTCCCTTTGGCGCCCCAGGGCCTAAAAATATTCTTTTTCTGGAGTGAATGTGAAATTCGTTGGATCTCTATCTTAAGACTTGCCCATAAGCAGAACAATAAATACTTCGTTTCTAAACACGACCTAGAAATAAAGAACTGGTTTCCTTCATAAATTTTTTTCAAGGAAATCATGGTTATATTCTTATAGCTTGCAGGGTTGGACACGTTTTATAACCGCACCAAAAAAGTCTGGCGGATGCGCATTTACGAAATAAGATTACGAACTCGCTAGGGCTGTTTCGAAAGCACAGCACACATATAGCCCGAGGAAACGTTTTTCCTTTCTCTCTCTCTCACTCTCAAATTACACCACGACTCGACTTCTTTCTCCATCTCTCCCTCACTTAAGTTCGTCCAGAATATACCTATGAGATTCGCTTCCTTCTCAATCCATTTTTCCAATGCGCAGCAAATGGCGTCAGAGAGGGGCATCAGAAAGCGAAACCGGAGTAAGCTTTCGTTCCAATACACTCGTTCAAGGTTGAATGAGGGCACCACTTATTAATGCTGCTGTGTGGAATCTTTCTCACCAACTTCAACTTCCGATTTTACTTCTCTTTTTTTTCGCGAGATGATGAAGCAAACATTATTCGAAAATAAACGTTTTTCGAGCCATAACGCAGAGAGAAGTTCGCATGCGCCGCAGACGCGACAAGCGTGAACTGGGGTTTCCATGCGTTCGGCCGTGACTCCAAGTGAAGCCAGGCAGCGAAACCAGTCACTCCATCAAAGCCTGGAGTAGGGAAAGACTTTTTCTTTTCCCCATGCCTTCATCTCTGCGTTCCGAGGTTCTGCTGATTAAACACGCCTAGAATGATGATGATAATAATAAAGAAGACGAAGGAGAATAATAGAATAGGGAGGGGGCAAAAGGTTCACAAACTCCAAGTATCGGAAGAACCCTTATCATCCATTTGTTGAAAGGCTTTGCTGGAAGCTTTTGTGGCCGTGATAAGCATTCACCTGGCTCGCCTTCTTGAAAGAAAAAAGTAAAAATAATGTAAAAGAAGAGCCTTCGATTGGAAAAAAAAAAGTTGGCTGAAAGTAATCTGAGGATCAGGTGTTCATGTCTTACTAAGAACCTGTCCTTTTTATTACCGATTTGTGTGGTTTTGTTTCGTGTGCTGAAATTTGCACAACACAAACGAGATCATTGATCTCTTTTGTGTTGTGTTTGGCTTAAGAAAGGATTAACCTCTCATCTTGTCCCATATGACCACTCCTCCGGGGCATGACTGATAACAGGTGCTTGCATGCACATTAAACCTGAACAAACATAAAGATGAACTGAACGAGAAAAATAACAAGAAAAATATACTTTTTTCTTTGATTTATAGCATTTGATCAGTGCAATTCCAACAGGTCGACTCCTCCTGGAAACTCGGGAGACCAGATTTTTTTTTTATAGAGAACCTCGTCTATTTACTGGGTAGAAATCCCTGTGGTTTGTTGCATAAAGAAAATAATTGCATACAAATTGTTGTTGTGAGAGCCTACTGGTATTACATCTACATCCTAAACTTTTTGTTTAATTAATAGATCCTAAAAGTTTCTGTATACTTGCCCATTGCCTGACTTCAACAGAGATGTGAGACTAAGCTTGGTATACTTTCATGTCAATGCATTTTTATATGAAGGCAAACCATGTTTTCCTCTCTTTTCAATGAATGGATGGGTGCATACACGTCAGATGTCCAGTTGTATTTCATGTTGGATTGTATTTTCTTTTATTTTTGTTATAAATTTGTGCTTTCATGCTCTGAAGTGATTAAATGTCATTGAGTGGATTTGGGTTGGGTGGGAAGGAGGTTTGGTTGTGGAAATCTTGATTGAACCTTGTGAACGCTGAAAAGTGGCAAATAAAGTGTTCGGTTCATTCATTCATTCATTCTCTTTTCATGTCTGATAATGCATTCCATGGGTTCCGAAATTTGCTTGAAATTAAAGGTTGAATCCTTGCCTAAGATTTTGTAGCCTCACTCCATTTATTCACCTTGGAAGAAATTTGCCATTATTCGTGTCTGTTCAAAAAGCGTTACANAGTGAAGCCAGGCAGCGAAACCAGTCACTCCATCAAAGCCTGGAGTAGGGAAAGACTTTTTCTTTTCCCCATGCCTTCATCTCTGCGTTCCGAGGTTCTGCTGATTAAACACGCCTAGAATGATGATAATAATAAAGAAGATGAAGGAGAATAATAGAATAGGGAGGGGGCAAAAGGTTCACAAACTCCAAGTATCGGAAGAACCCTTATCCATTTGTTGAAAGGCTTTGCTGGAAGCTTTTGTGGCCGTGATAAGCATTCACCTGGCTCGCCTTCTTGAAAGAAAAAAAGTAAAAACAAAGTAAAAGAAGAGCGTTCGATTGGAGAAAAAAAAGTTGGCTGAAAGTAATCTGAGGATCAGGTGTTCATGTCTTACTAAGAACCTGTCCTTTTTATTACCGATTTGTGTGGTTTTGTTTCGTGTGCTGAAATTTGCACAACATGGACGAGATCAGTGATCTCGTTTGTGTTGTGTGAGGCTTAAGAAAGGATTAACCTCTCATCTTGTCCCATATGACCAATCCTCCGGGGCATGACTGATAACGGCCGGTGTTTGCATGCACATTAAACCTGAACAAACATAAAGATGAACTAAACGAGAAAAATAACAAGAAAAATATACTTTTTTCTGTGATTTATAGCATTTTATCAGTGCAATTACAGCAGGTCGACTCCTCCTGGAAACTCGGGAGACCAGATTTTTTTATATAGAGAACCTCGTCTATTTACTGGGTAGAAATCCCTGTGGTTTGTTGCATAAAGAAAATAATTGCATACAAATTGTTGTTGGGAGAGCCTACTGGTATTGCATCTACATCCTAAACTTTTTTTTTAATTAATAGATCCTAAAAGTTTCTGTATACTTGCCCATTGCTTGACTTCAACAGAGATGTGAGACTAAGCTTGGTATACTTTCATGTCAATGCATTTTTATATGAAGGCAAACCATGTTTTCCTCTCTTATCAATGAATGAATGGGTGTATGCATACGTGTCAGATGTCCAGTTGTATTTCATGTTGCATTGTATTTTCTTTTATTTTTTTATAAATTTGTGCTTTCCTGCTCTGAAGTGATTAAATGTCATTGAGTGGATTTGTGTTGGGTGGGAAGGAGGTTTGGTTGTGGAAATCTTGATTGAACCTTGTGAACGCTGAAAAGTGGCAAATAAAGTGTTCGGTTCATTCATTCATTCATTCTCTTTTCATGTCTGATAATGCATTCCATGGGTTCCGAAATTTGCTTGAAATTAAAGGTTGAATCCTTGCCTAAGATTTTGTAGCCTCACTCCATTTATTCACCTTGGAAGAAATTTGCCATTATTCGTGTCTGTTCAAAAAGCGTTACATGCCGGTTTCATCCAAATAATAAACCTTTTATCCCCGTCATTTTCACTAACGATCTATCCTGGACAATTGCGGGCTAAATATTAATTTCTATTCGCTTACAGATTAGACAAAAGGTCATCTTTGAAATTAATTTTTTAAATGGCAAAGCCTTCAAAAATTGTAGCGAAATGGCAAAGGCTTCAAAAATTGTAGCGAAATGACAAAGGCGTTCTCTTTTGTGTGTGTGGCTTTTACAAGGTTTCAGCGTATAACTTGATTTTTCTAACCCTTGCAGAGCATTGAACAAAAAAGAACTGCGTATTCTTTGTCCATTCAGGTGAGTATTCCAAGAAAAATCATGAAGCATTCTGGACAAATATCCATAGTGAGTTTCCGAAGCTTTCCAGAATTTTCGCTTGGAACTATAATATTTTGATGTCATGTAAAAAAAAATTAATTCATCTAGATACACACAGAGAATGGAATTTTCTGGAAGGCCTTCCTTTTGTCTATTAGATTAAATTCATCCCAGTTTTGACACGTTTACGAGAGACGTCATGTGACGTGATAAAGCACAGGCGCAGAGTATTTTTGATCAGCTAGATCGCATGAGACGCTGTGTTGTGAACGCATGAATGCGGGAATGGGAAGTTTCTTGTGAAGTATTTTTACGCATAACATATCAGTATGAAAAAAATGTAATATTTTTTATTTTCTTTTCTCGCTTCACTGCTCGACGTCTTCGACAATTTTCCTAACAGTCATCACATCGACGTGGGTGACACTGTAATTTTTGTTACACGCATGACGCAGTTGGGCTTCGGTTTAGCCTGGGTTTTGTTAGGCCAGGTTTTTGGATCGTTGGGTTAGTTAAGGTTCAGGTGGGCCGGTTATTTTGTTAGGTTAATAATGATGCTGGCGAAATCTGCCCGAAATCTCTGAAAACAAAGCTTAGGTAAAAAAATATGGACACTTGTTTTTTTCAATCGGCAGATTTTCATAGGAAAATTTCGTGTTTTATTTGTTATGCAAAATTTAAAATACATCAGCTACCCAATGTTTGTTATATTTATTTATTAAAAGAGGAACCTAGCTTAATGAATTGGGATCATTCTTATTATTGGTCTTTCAGGCGTGCTGTACACGGTCAAAAATTATTTTTGGCCTCCGCTAAGAAAATTTGCAAAGCATTTTGACGCGTCAACTCATGCTTGTCCGTTAAGACGAAATATACCTACACTTATCGGAGAATTTCCTGCTGAGTTCACAAGTGGTTTCAGTGACACAGATGCTATGCTATCAGATTTTTAAATTTCGTCCTCTTCACAACCATGAAGGACCAACATTATAAAAGTAGAACCCTCGTCCTCAGGCAAAAATGATCTTACAAATAAAATCTTTGATTAGAGCTGGCCCATGTGCCACAATTTACCTAGGAATGGTTTCAAAACTATTATGAACATACTGCATTTCAAAAACAAGGGTGGCTAATGCTGTAATTAGTTTCTTACGTCTGAGACTGAAAATGGATATACACATTGTCTTATCTTTAAAAAACTCCATTTACAACGAAATAAACTGTGATCCCAGAAATATAAATTAGGATCAGTATGTGAGCTTCAAGTGCGTTATTCACGTTCAAAATTGAAGGTCGTTCAAGACGAGACGTGCGCATAAACTGGATTCTTTATCTGGAAAAGACTGTATCATTGATTCGACAGAAATAATATTGAAAATCTGCTCTGACGCATCCGTAAATGATGAGATAATGTGTGACAGAGCTTTTTTCTTGATTTGAAATATCCGGTTTTATGTCTTATCATTATTCTCAACATTATTTATGAACCATTCTTCGTTTACTGACAGAGGCTTGAATGCTAAAAAGACATGAAGCATGTGTGCTAAGTATCGCACTAAAATTAAATGCTATAGTACTGTACTATACTTCAGAATTTAATTGCATTACTTTTAGTTTTTTTCAGTAATGAAGGAATGCTGTGTCATCTCGTTTAAAAATGTAAATGTTCGCGCTCCCGCAATTCGAAACGTTAATTGCGACTCCAATTACTCGCGCTGACATGGCAATGATTTGATGAAAATTCCTCCGTTTTTGATTCCCAAATTAATGAACAGCACACATTTCTGGCCAAAACAGAATCGAATCTGATGGGTTTACTCTTTTGTCCTTCCACAATCTCTTCCTCTTCCACCGATTTCATCCCGGTGTCAAAACTCAGACGGAATCAGTTTCATTTCAAACAAAGCACTTTCAAAGACTGGATCCGTGTTTCACTTCAAAAGATAAACAAAATTCCTCATGACATTTTGAGGCACGGCTTGGCTCAAAAATAATGAACGGAATAGGCGATGCATTCCGAAAATAAAGCAATTGCTGTCCGAAACAAAATCACTGCAAACCTTTCTTTGCCTGTACACAACGCGGTTTTTTTCTTTCTTCAGCAATTATCATGCCCGTGCTCTCAAATAAACCTTGCAAAACTGAGAATAAAATTGTTCATATTTAAAACGAAAGTCGCGAATTTTTGTTTTTCTAACCAATACAAAAGGCCTGTTTGTACTGGTCACGCGATCATCATAATCATCCCAAATCAATATTCTCCTATATTCTAAACTCCAATTGTTCCCGATTGTTCATGCGAATAAAAATGCGAAGACGTCGGCATGGAAAAAAAAACGAGGCTTCAAAACGCGTATGTAATTGCAAAGATATTCTTTCTGTAGTCGACATGACTTCGCACACTGATATGTGTTCTTGCATTCGTCACAACTCCGTGATGGGTTCTTCTATGACAGTGGCCCTGTAAAATAAAGAAGAAAATATTCAAGCGTTGATAAACATCGAGTTCCTTTGCGCAAAATTCATGCAATCGGAAAAGGATCGTTCGCAAAATTGGCCCTGGTTCCACGTGACCGTGTGGTGAAAATATGCACGATTTCAGAACATTTTCACCGTGTCACCATAAAAAAATCTCGAACCCTGTCGTGATTAAATGTGTGTCTGTATTTTTTGTAAAAAAGGATGATTCACGCCCTGCAATACTAGAATAATTCAATATTTCGACCAGCTATTAAAAATGTATCATAGCATTCGTGTCAAATGTAGGTGGAAAAATGTTTTTAAAAAATGTCATCATCTCTACAGCAACAAGTTCTCGAAGACGGAAAAATGGCAGGAAATCAGTGGCATTCACAAGACGATTTTTCCAGTTGAGTTAAGATAAATGGATAACCTATTCTTGAATATTTCTGATGATTTTTAGATTAGCACTGAATGAAACACACTGAATTTTACCCCAAAGTAGTTTTTAACATTCCCGTTCCACGTGAAAAAACACTCGAAGTTCTCCATTTGATACCATTGTTTTTACTTCCATATTGCTACACTTTCCTTCGACACTAATTTTGAAATAATTCATTCATATCTTCTTGTGAAACATTATTGATTTTTACTGGCACAAAATGCGTAAATCATCCTGGTATTTCATGCATTCGCCGTCAATTTCAGCATGCATTTGAAGCAGACAAAAATTTATTTTATCCGCATTAAGTCTTTTGATTTTTTCTCGATGAAATAACCATTGGAATATGGCTTTTAAATTTAAAAAAATTGAACAAGCGGAGCAAGAGTACAAACAAAACAAACCTTGCTAAATGACAACAACAGCAAAATGAGGGGTAAAACCCATCAGGTTGAAGAAAGGATCATAAATGGCTTCATAACAAATAAATATAATTTAAATTGACTAAAAAGCCTGCCTATACATGTCGAGATTTTTTTCTAACCCATTTTAACTGATCCAAATTTATTGAAGGTCCCGACTTCAGATTTGTAACCTTGCAGTACAGTATTTTTCAGAAAAGAACATCGCCGGTTTCCCAGAAAATGGAAAAATAGAAACCTTTTATCCCCGAAAAGGGAACTCATCTTCGGAGAATAAGCTTCATTCGAAAGCACAGAAACATAGCATTTTTCGAAGGTTCGTCATTAGAAAAAAAGGAAATAGGAAAGCATGGGTCAAGGAAAATCGGTCAGGAAAGGTCATGCTTCACCGGCACATGCAGCACTTGAAACGTCGTGCTGCCGGTGAACAGAAGAAAAACGTGAAGTTGTTCACGAAAAATAAATCAATGAAATCCAGTGGCTCTTCTGCAAAGTGTGATAATGTTTGCTTAAACCGCAGAATCTCCCAGAAAAAAAATACTGCGTGACGATTGACGAGTGCAGGACATGACCGCATTTACTCGAATATAAGACGCCATGGATACGTACCTTTTATATTTTTTGCATTAAAATAAAAATATAAAAATTTTCTCTTCAGTTTGAATTGCTTTTATTCCAAATTTTCGTGAATGCTAAGGAGTCTGATGATGTTATTCTTGCTTAATCTTCTGGAACATGCTCGACAGAAATCAGACTCAAAATGTTGCTCACTCTTGAACAGAAAAAGTTGACGTAGGCTTTGTTATATTTCATGTAGGTCAATCTATATCTCACAAAAATTATGAGTTTAGTCCAAAATTTAATTCATCAGCAAATGTATCACATTTGACACGTACCGTTAAACATCTCGAAAATCGCGACTGTAATTTTTTTGCGAGGAAGAGAAAACAAAACGAGAGCAAACTTTGCTTGCGTCTTATAGTTGAGTAAAAATGCGGCGATGGAATCCTCTAACCGGTCCCCTCTTGCTGCTTGCATTTCTAAGTCTATCTTACGTCTGACAGAAGGAAATGGTCTTTGGAACTGAGTTCTGGTGTTGGATGTGGTGCCGACGGGCAGCGACAGCAGCTTTACAACTGCGTCGTCGAGCCCCGGTTTTCAGGATGGAATGCTGCAGCGTACCGTTCTGGGATCCGGAGTTGATAGTTATCGTCACTTTGTTGTTGTTGCTGCTGCTGCTGTTGTTGCTGCCAATGTTGTTGTTGTTGTTGTTGTTGTTATTGCTGATGCTGCCGACTCTTGTGTCCAACGCGACGGAGTCTTTGGGTACGGATTCGGGATCCAACGCTGTGTTGTACTCGTGTTGTAGTTGTTGCTGCAGCTGCTGCTGCTGGTGGGTTGTCTTCTTGTTCTTGTTGAAGAAGGAAAAGGTGATTGAGGACGTCTTCCCTCGCCCAGGCCTGAAATAAGAAATCCAGGGTAAATGAACATCACTGGTCAAAATTCATAATGCTGCATATATACGAGGGTTTTTTCATGAGTTTTGAAACTTTGTAAAATAGATTCACGGGAGTTTCAACAATTTAAAAAACATTCTTTACTTGCATAGCCCCATCATTTGGCAACATTTGATTGCTGTTCAACATTCACTCCCCCAATTTCAATGCATCTTGTCAAGCGATAAATAATAGTGCAAAAAATCGAGTGCTGTTAGTTGAAGGGGCACTCTTTGACTTTTGGCTATTCCTGACAGTAAAAAGAATGACGTGAAATGATTGGTTTTTGTGGACAAGGACAGTCTCATTTCCGCTGTTGAAAATCAGCCCAATCATCTAAACGAACTTGATTTTTGGCCCTGTTTTGATCGTTGGATTTATTGCATGAAAAATGCATTGAAATTGGCAAAGAGTATGTTGAATAGCAATGAAGTGTTGCCAAATGATGAGGCTATGCAAGTAAAACATGTTTTAAAACATTTTTAAAACTCCTTTAGATCTATTAAAAAAAGCCTCAAAATTTATGAAACAACCCTCGTATATAATGCAGGTGATGGACTCTCTACAACAAAACACAAGGGACCAGAAAAAAAAAATCGCCCGGAAAGAATTTATTTGCAGAGACCCCCTATAACATGGGGAAGGAAACTTATGGGACCACAAACGAATTCGTTAAATTTTTGTTTTTCCGAGTGAAGGCAGCAGGTTCTTACCCCGCATGAAAAATAATTTGATAAAATGTGGATGCTAAAATATACTGTATGCATGTAAAGGAAACATATAAGTATACTGTATATAGCGTATTTGAGGGTTGGTTCATAAGCTTTGGAACTTTTGAAAATACGGTAGATCCAACAGAGTTCAAGAGTTCACTTTTTTTTTTTTTTTTACTTGCATAGCCCCATAATTTGTGACCTCTGGCTGTTCCACATGATGAAAAGCGATTTAAAACAAATTGATTTTGAAAACAGCGAAAACATAATTTCTTCCATCGAAGATCAGCTTGGTGTGAAACGGTATTGGAATTTTGGCACTGTTTTGATCATTGAATTTATTGCATGAAAAAATGCACTGAAATTTGTGGTGGAGGAGAATGTTGAACAGCTCTGAAGTCCCGTCATATGCTGGGGCTATGCAAGTAAAGGAAAAAAAGGAATTGTTGAAACTCTGTTGGATCTATTTCAAGAAGTTGCAAAACTTACGAACCAAACCTTATTGTATACCGTACGTATTTTGTTTCTTCTGAAAAATAAAAAATAAATAATAAATATCAGACGATATCCAGCCAGCTCACTCGCAAACAGAAGAATTGAAGGTTCTCGTGGTGCCGTTGGCCTTCGCAGCAACCTGCGACGCCAAGTCGAACATCGACACCGTCGAGGGTCCCTTCGTCATGCCGCTGTTCCGCTTCCCGATCGACGTGCCCTCTTCGAACCGGGCCCGTTGACGAGCCACGCACGAATCCCGTTGACCTTTGACCTGTTTCGCCTCGTTCCCAGCGAGTATCGTCACAGTCGACGCTGTTTGTCCCGGGCCCGTCGAAGAAGCGAGCAAGTCGTCGACAGACGAGGCTCGCGCCCGCAGCGTCGCAGTCGCAGCGTCGGCCTTGTTGAGTTTGAAGCGGTAATCCTCGGAACTGGCGTCGTATTGCTGGCAGGGATTCAGAATTCTCAGTCAATTACATGAATGAAACTCAGAATACAGTACTCTTCATTTGAATTGCTGGCCGACAAACAGGAAGGGAAAAGAATGACTATAGAGAAGTTCGATCAATAATTTGTGACCTGCATAAATTCCACGAGCGTTCTTCGAAAGGTGACGATCTCTTGCTCATACTGAGACGAGTAGGAAAGGAATGAGAAATACCTCATCAAGAAATCTGTTTCGTTTTTCTAGACCTGCGATACACAAGGTACAACGAAAAAAATGGTTTTTTACATAGTGGAAGCAATGAACGAATCTCAAGAGCAATCAGAGAATTCGTGGCTGAGCCAATAAGGTTTTTTGCCTTTAAAAAATAAAGACACCTTCGGATTTAATGTGGGGTGAAGAACGGAGTACCTCAATATTTCGGGGCAAATATCAAAACAGAAATAATGTGCTACTGTAATTCTCAAGACAGAAATATTGTTATTCTCAAGACAGAAATGCTGTACTGTAATTTTCAAGACAGAAATACTGTAATGTAATTTTCAAGACAGAAATACTGTACTGAAATTTTCAAGACAAAAATACTGTACTGTAATTTTCAAGACAGAAATAAGTTTCAAAACATAAATAATTTCAAGGCAGAAATAATTCTCAAGACAGAAATAAGTTTCAAAACATAAATAATTTCAAGGCAGAAATAAAACTCAAGACAGAAATCATGTACCTCTCAAGATAGAAATGATTTAATTCTCAAGAAAGAAATAATTCTGAAGACAGAAATAATGTAACTTTCAACACACAAATTATTAAATTTTCAAAACAGAAATAATTCTTAAGACAGAAATCATGTAACTTTCAAGACAGAAATAATTTAATTTTCAAGACAGAAAGGATTTAATTATCAAGACAGAAGTAATTCTCAAGACAGAAATATTTTTCACGACAGAAATAATTCTCAATTCTTCGGAATGAGACGCTCACCTTCGAAGCGACGACAGGAGTGTGAGGCGGCTTGATGGGCGCCCCGTACATTCTGACAGGCACCACGAGCCCGCGCTGGTCCTGCTCGCGGCGCCGCTCAGATCCGCCACCCGAAGACGCCAGCGAGGTGCGGTCGTCGAAATACGTTTCCGGCGGCTTGGGCTTCACGGGGGTCGGCTCTGCTAACGTCAGCGAATCCAGGGACTCGACTTCCACGGCGTCCCGCACCACCACCACGCGGTCATCGTCGCCATTGTGAGACGCAGTGGCGGCGCTGCTGTTGGTTGATCCCGACAACGCCCCCGGGGCGTGTTTCGGTGGCGGCGGTGGCGGTGGACAAAACTGCTGGCGAGCATTGCGAGTCGCGTTGCTGGCGGCGCCCTTGTGGTCCTTGCGAATCGGCACTGGCGGAGGCGGCGCTTTTGTACGATTGCTGCACTGGTCCGACACCTGGGAACAACGTTGGGCCTGAAATCTGAAATTCTTAGCCTGGCTTTTTGTTAGCGACAGAAAAATAAGAGTGGCTCATGCAAGAAGAGGGGAAGAGTGAGCCTGAGTTACCGTATTTACGCGAGTACCACGAGTACCTTTTTTGATTTCACGAAATTGGCTTTAAAAAAAAATTAGGTACGCGTCACAGTCGGAGCATAAATATTACATTCCCATTTATTTGAAGTTTGAAAATTTTCTCCCCAGTCTCAAAATTGTTCTAGGGATAGGTTCCTTAAATATTATTTGATTTGTATGAAACAAAAATACAGTATCACCATTGAATTAGGTATGCGAGTGGTCTTGAATTGAGATTTTCACCCAACATAGTTTTTTAAACAAGAATTTTGATATCTGACAGCGGAGGAACGCGTCTCATCCGTAGATTACATTTTTCCCTAAATTGTAGCTGAAATTCTAAAGAGCGTTTTTCTCGAGTGGATACGGTAAGTGTTACTTCAAAAAAAAAAAAAAGATCCACAATCATGCACATTGACAAGCAATCCTCAGGCATATGCAAATACATGCCATGCCAAAAAACACATTCTTGCAGTTGCCATGCGAATTAAAAACCCTCAGGAGTAAGTCAACAGAATTTTTTTTTTCAGAAATAGAGAACAGCAGAATTTAACTCAAGAAAGGGAGAATAACAGAAAAGAGAGGATGATGGAGGAAGGTATCCAAAGAGAAAAGATTTCTTGTGTACTGTACTGTATTTCATTTTATTCAATCATATACCCCAAAGCATAAAAGATATTTTAAACCGTTGATACAACCTTAAACTAACGTTTCCCAATACAGTACAATACACTGTACAATATAGTACAACTGTCCATTGAATGCGATGGATAAATTTTGTTCCTTGGCAGTAACGGGGGTGAACTTATTTAACGCGTTATTTTTTCCCGTTTTCAAACTGGGCGAGTGAAAATTTGTGACAGCAATGAAATGCAACCTCGCAAAAATTACGTACGTCCATCCATCAATCCATCGAAAAGAGCTCAGTAACAAGCAAAGCACACTTGTGTAAAAACCCCGAACCTTCACCAGTCCAACTAGACTAATATCAATCTTTTCTTTTTCGCTCCAAAGAAGAAGGCCAAAAGCCGTTTGGATGTCAAGGAGAATTCTAGAAATATCCCAAAAACCGTGATAGACAATTCATCTTTCAATTTCGGACAAGATCGTGGTGCTTCCGCTCGACCACCCCATTCCCTCAAGGACCTTTTATCCAACAACGCGTCCAAGCCATATAATCAGCCGAAACAATATAAACCTTTGCAGATTTATAGATGAAGGATCGAAAGAAGAAGAACGAAAAGTGCAGTGTATACACAGGAATAAGGAAGAAGGTAACACGATCCCTCGTGCGGTTCTTGCCTGTGGGGTGCAATGATTCGTGGCACGAGCAAAAAACGTGAACGCGGGCGGCAGTGGCGGTGGTGGCGGCACACAATCAGGTGAAGCCGAGGTCAACATCACAACGCTCACGTTTCTCTGAACCGTGGGTCCGTGGAACTAACGAGTTTCGATTCCCCACAATAAGAAAGCAGCAACATAACAAGCAAACACAAACTCGCATCAAAAAAACGCACACTCGGGACTTCACTTTTTTTTTTTTTTTCAAGGCAATCTCTGGTGAAGTCGATAAAATCCTCGATTGAATCAACTACAACGTACGAAGCATTCCGCGTGGAGTTTACAGGAAATCGTTGCATTACTTTTGCTGACCTTCGAGACGAAATGTCGTTCTGATGTTAATTAACTTTCGAGTCCTTGCCCTTGTACACAGTACCTGTAAATTGAGAGTTTTCCTCTCCGCTATTTTTTTTTTCAAGGAAGCAATAACGGAAAATAGAGACGCTTCGTTCTCCCAAGTTTGAAGCAAACTAGAGGCTCATTTTTCGAGTAAGAAAACATTAAATTCGGGCCCCGACATACGGACGTTTCGACTAATGGATACTGAAAACGCAAAAAAATGTGCCCTGACATCTGGACAAATTTTCAAGACATGGACAGCACTCTACAAAAATTTCCAGAATTTTGAAATAAAAACATTTAAATTTGTTCATATCTTCTGAAAAAATTTGAGCTACAGCAGTACTAACATGGATATCAAGTCAAGATACAATAAATCTTATCCAACATATTCTTTACTTCATTTATGAAAAAAGGCTGATTTTTTGTTTCTGTTTCTAGTCGTTTTATCATGAACTATGTGCAGTTGTTTTTGCTTTTCGAACTCCTTTTCACGCGGACAGGTTCTCAGTGGTTTTCTTCTGCACAGTAATACATTTTTCTTCAATTACCCTTGTACACAGTACCTGTAAATTGAGAGTTTTCCTCTCCGCTATTTTTTTTTTCAAGGAAGCAATAACGGAAAATAGAGACGCTTCGTTCTCCCAAGTTTGAAGCAAACTAGAGGCTCATTTTTCAAGTAAGAAAACATTAAATTCGGGCCCCGACATACGGACGTTTCGACTAATGTATACTGAAATCGCAAAAAATATGCCCTGACATCTGGACAAATTTTCAAGACATGGACAGCACTCTACAAAAATTTCCAGAATTTTGAAATAAAAACATTTAAATTTGTTCATATCTTTTGAAAAAATTTGAGCTACAGCAGTACTAACATGGATATCAAGTCAAGATACAATAAATCTTATCCAACATATTCTTTACTTCATTTATAAAAAAAGGCTGATTTTTGTTTCTGTTTCTAGTCGTTTTATCATGAACTATGTGCAGTTGTTTTTGCTTTTCGAACTCCTTTTCACGCGGACAGGTTCTCAGTGGTTTTCTTCTGCACAGTAATACATTTTTCTTCAATTTTCTCGAAAAAAAAACACGAGAAAATTGTTAAAAATTTTCCCTTTTGAAGTCTATGAGAAAATGAGATCCGACATGCGAATGTCCAACTGTATTGACGTAGTCTGAGAATCAATAGCGTCCGCATCTCGAGGCTCCACTGATGCATATGTAAATATTCATTTTATTTTTTAATTTTTTTTACCAAGATAACGGAATGATAGTGATATTCGACATGAGCTGGCATTGTGAAGTTGATCTCGTGATTACCATGATCGGAGGCGGAGGAGGAGGAAATGGATCGTCACTAACGAACGACGTCGACGCGTCGAAGTGTCGTTGCGATGACGTCAGGAACCGTTCTTCCGTTTCCTGGGCACAATCCGGACTTCCGCACTGAAAAAAAAACAGTCGATATAGAAAAAAACCAATAATGAAAAATGAAATGCCTCGTCGAGAAGTGCTGAAGCTCAAAAGACTGTTTTCTTGCCGCCCCTTTAAAAAATTTTCAAATAAAACAACAAAGAATGTTGATTGTTTTCGTCGAAAAAAACAAGATGTATTTCTGGAATAGCCCTTCTACTTTTTCAGTCACTGTTCTAAATTTAAGACCAACCGCAAAAATAAATTTTACTCGAAATGTCGTTTTACTCCAGATTTCAAACCTTGAATTCCTTGATCATGGTTTTTGAAACGCTCTTTCTTTTAGTCCTCTCATAAATTCTGGAAAATTATTTTGCAGTATAGTCTCAACAACCTTTCAAAATCTCTAAAAATGTTGTTTCCCAGCCTCAGAACATTCTATGCTTAAGTAATCTATTAATTAAGTAGTCTATGCTTAAGTTTTCTAATTGTAATGCCTCAATTTACGGTATGTCGAACACGACGTCCAGACCTACTCCAACTGAGAAATCGCGCTATATTTTGTTTGGCAAAAAATTAGACCAGTCTTGCTTTTCGGCAAAACCCTGTAGAACTTGCAAAACTGTCTGAAAAAATGTATTTGTAATGTTCTTACTTTAGATAATGAAGATTTATTTTACACGATGAAGATTGCAAAAATTAGCGAACCTTTCTTTTCAAAGACAGTGTGGTTTTCAACTATGCAATCAAGAAACCGACATGAGCTGGCATTGTGAAGTTGATCTCGTGATTACCATGATCGGAGGCGGAGGAGGAGGAAATGGATCGTCACTAACGAACGACGTCGACGCGTCGAAGTGTCGTTGCGATGACGTCAGGAACCGTCCTTCCGTTTCCTGGGCACAATCCGGACTTCCGCACTGAAAACAAAACAGTCGATATTTAAAAATAAAATAACCAATGATGAAAAATAAAATGCCTCGTCGAGAAGTGAAGCTCAAAAGACTGTTTTCTTGCCGCCACTTTAGAAAACTTTCAAATAAAACAACAAAGAATGTTGATTGTTTTCGTCGAAAAAAAACAAGATGTATTCTTGGAAAAGCCCTTCTACTTTTTCAGTCACTGTTCTAAATTTAAGACCAACCGCGAAAATAAATTGTACTCAAAATGTCGTTCAACTCCATATTGATACCTTGAGTTCCTTGATCGTGGTTTTTGAAACGCTCTTTCTTTTAATCCTCTCATAAATGCTGAAAAATTATTTTTCTGCATAGTCTCAACAACCTTTCAGAATCTCTAAAAATTTTATTTCCCAGCCTCAGAACATTCTATGCTTAAGTTCTAATTGTAATGCCTCAATTTACGGTATGTCGAACACGACGTCCAGACCTACCCCAACTGAGAAATAGCGCTATATTTTGTTCGGCAAAAAATTACGACCAGTCTTGCTTTTCGGCAAAACCCTGTAGAACTTGCAAAACTGTCTGTTTTTACATAAACATTACAAGAATGAAATCTATTACTTCTAAATAAAATGTGCTACTTCTAACGTTTTTAATCGCTTGGAAAGAAAAGTTTCTGTCACACCAAAAGTTGATACGTTAGTTCTTTGGCACAAGGAAATGTAAACAAAGTAAAATTCAAACATAGTCATAAGAAAACTCCAGGATTTCTCATATTAGTGGAAACTCATACTATATTCATTTGAAGACAAAATTCAAATAAACGTGCAAAGAAAGTGTTCTGTTCATTCATTCATTCATTGAAGACAAGTGTAGAGGCGGAATCTCTATACAACAATCTTATCTAAAACTAAATTCTCTGCATGACGATTTTTTTGTCCCATAAGGTTCTCTCATCCCTACCCATGTTTTACAGGTTCTTCGCAAAGAAATTCTCTCTTAAACGAATTGTTCCTGGTCCCTTGAAATTCGATGCATGGAGAGAGTCCACCTGTATATACTGATACTGTAATTGTATTGTTTGGATTGAAGACTGCGCACTTACGCATTAAAAAAAAAGAGAGGAAACCACGTTAGAAAACTAACTTCTTATGCAACGGAAAATTAACAAAGCCCGTCGTGTTGCCCAATTGAAAAGCCCCTCAACCACGAGTGGACCATGAAAAAAGTTGCGCAACATCTCGGTTTGGCGCGCAGTAACCACTATAGCAGCATCAGTAGTTGCACGAAATGTCAACTCGAGAGAATGTCACTCGTCGTCAGGCATAAAAATTGTAATAATCGAGTGTTGAAACCCAGCAGTAAACTCACGTTTGATGGAGGCGGCGGCAGGTCGTAAACGGGCGACTCCACTCGTACCTCGTTTTGGACGACGACGATTTTCTGCGAATCCTCCATGGTGGTCATATTCTTGCCGTCCTTGAACATTTTTTTGTGCTTTTGGCGGAATTCCGCCATCAGCTGTGGATGAAGTTGCAAAAAAACACTCATCGATGAGGCAAACTTGAATGGTATGTGAAAACACCCTGCCATGCTACTAAAAAACTTGAAAAGCAGTTGTGCCGTATTTCAGAGGGACAAAATATATCAGCTTCGCAAATGGATTGGGATTCTTTTCTTACTCCGAAAAAAAAAAATTCAACACTTTTGAAACTTGAACAGATGAACAAACGCATTCCTATCAATTGATTGATTTCTCGTCTTTTATCTGCTGAGTAGTGAGAGTACTTGGACGAGCGAAACAATTCTCAAAGGAAATCACCAGTCGCAACCAAATAGTGGCGGCAGTAAAAATTAGCTTTGGATGATGAGATGTATTTTCCGAATAAACTCGGTACGCCAGGAAACTAAAAAGTCAGTAAAAATAAAAAATTAAACTGTAGCCAAGCATAACAAAGATTACTTAATGATTTGGATATTTTAATCTTAAAATTGCAAAAGAGACCACAAAGCATCGAATTTAAGAGCGGTTAATACTCTTGGCTGTGATGGCCGATAAATTCGAAACACGTTCTATCTTATGCACATTCCTAATGCAAACGGTCTTCTTGAGCAACATTTAATGCATAAATTCATTCTACAGATTCCACTGAAAAAAACCAATGGCTTTCTTTCCATAAAAATTTAATTGGAGCTCGAAGATTAATCTGTACCTGAAAATGTCTGTTGGAAAAATTCGAACAATAGAAAAATGAAAGGTTATTTTACAATGAAACGATGAAATAAATTAAAATATTTGGGGACACGATATGCAGCGAAAAAAACTTCCCAAGGAGGAAAATGTTATCAAATAATTTCCCACAATTATACGTGCATATATAAACCGGCACCTTTCAAAACAATTTTACACCGAGAAAGTAGTTACACTGCAGTTTACCTGGGAAAAACTTCAACACTCACAATTGAGTACTGGATCTTTAAATAAGTGAAACGTCTAAGAATGAGTAAGAAAAAACCTGAAATAATCGCAATTATTTTCTTCTTCCTGGTGTCAAGCAAAAATAATCTCAGCTTTTGGTATCAACAAGTTAACACGACTCAGTTCAAAGTAGCAGAAAGTAACAAATATTGTAAATAAGCAAGATTGACGCATATAAAAAATTAATGCTACCTATCTGAGGATTTTTCAAACTGCAAATAATTAGGTAAATATTTATGTATCTACGTTTTTAAATTCCAGATTGATATGCCAATTTATAGTTTGAGGCTTTCCCAAAAATATCCTTCTCGTGTATAAGCTTTCATAAAGTTAGAGAGCTTATCAGGATCCAGGACTGGCACACAAAGCCTCATGATACGTTTTATGGGCAAACAAACAAGCAAAAAGAGTCTTCAGAAACTCGAGAAACAAAAATAACTAATTTATTTCCTGGATTAAAACGAACTTTTTCGATTACGCGAGAGTGAATGAAAGAACGTCGAGCAGTTCGTGCCGTTTCGTCTTCTCTTAAGCAGCATGATGGATACAGCACAAATTCTTAATCGACTGGAAACCTTTGAAAAAGTACTAAATCCGTTCAAAACTCCAGTTTAATCAGTACTTTACATAATCTACGAACGAGTTCTGTCCCTGAATGCTTCCCCATCCTGCCGTTCTCTCCACGACACTCAAAATAAATAAAAAATGTAACCCTATATTTGACAGAAACATGCGGAAGGGAATCTCTAACAGAGTACGCACTTTGTGTAAGTACTGGAAAAGTACTTTAGACTGACCTGGTGGTGCTGAATCTTGGAAGTCTTGTCCATGGCAGGCGTGAGGATCCGCGGGCCAGCAATGTCCTTGGCGTTCGACACGTCCCTGCGTTCCGCACTCGCCGTCATTCTCGACTGCGACACGAACAAATGCAGAATATTGTCAAAATTAATTCTTATTCCAATGAATAAAAACAAAGGATAAAGAGCGAGAGATAGAGAGAGACAGAGTGAGAGAGAAAGCTGTATAAAACAATGAAAATCAGCTCCAGCACTCGCTTGACGAACTCCATGCAGAAAATTCTTATTCCAATGAATAAAAACAAAGGATAAAGAGCGAGAGATAGAGAGAGACAGAGTGAGAGAGAAAGCTGTATAAAACAATGAAAATCAGCTCCAGCACTCGCTTGACGAACTCCATGCAGAAATGGGACATGCATATCCACCATACCCGAACTTCGAATTCATCATGATGATTGACGAATGTTTCTACAGGGTGGTATACCGTATTTACAAGAAAGAATTGTTGAGGATATCGATCACATGTGATGATGACTTCTCTTTCGTTTGTTTGACCACAAAAAAATACAATTTCCCCGGTGACTGAATGACGCAATTCCGATTATAAGACGCGAATATTCTTTGTGCGATTAAAAATCGAAAAAAATTGTGCTCGCGAGTTTAAAACGCAGTCTTGAAGCATTCAATTGTACAGCATCTGGAAATTTTCTTTATTCTATTCGATTTTCTTTCAACAGCTGATATATCCTGAACCAAGCTTCATAGAAATCAGAATTCCGCCTCATATGCTTTTTAACGAAAAAAATTTAGTTAGGATTTCAAGACTTGGATTTCACGGGATTTTTATTCGTAAGATTTTGCTGGTCTGGAGAAATCATGAAATTTACCGGCGAATCTAATTGAAGGCGCCCCCACAACTTGTATAAACAAATATCTTTTTTAAAAAGTGCGTCTAAAATTCTATAAAATTTCAGTGCACGCGTTTTGCTCACGGAATTTTCAACGATCAGTCGTAATGAATAGAAACCCTTTGACCCAGCACCACAATTCTATAATACTGTAAAACAAGCAACTCCGCAAAAAGGTGCTTAAATTCAAAAACCAAAGCCCATTCATGCCACCAATGAAAATAGGATGACCTCATCACGAATTCGTAATTTGAAAAATAATCCAAAGTTTGAGTTTGCGAAACCATCGAGGTCGAAAGAGCGGCTTTAGATTGCATCAATCGCTTTCTGTTCGCTATAAACAGCCCCAATTACTTTTTTTTACAGGAGTTTGAAATTTTAACAGACTAGAATGATGTGTTCTTACGTCAGCCCATATTTTTTACCCCTCCAGTTACACATTGTGTCTCGGTGGAATTAACATGCAATATTGCAAATGACAACATAAATTTTAATTGAACTTAGCTCAAGGAAATCTGATGAAGTAAAAGTATCTTAAATTATGAACCTAGCAACCATTCTTCTGTCATAAATGTGAAATTTTAATTTTGCTCAAATAAAGGCAAAATGTATGTTTTCCTTTGTCTAACGCGGAATCTATCCTTGTTGATTATTTAGTCTTACTGAGTCTAAGTAAGGTGAAATGGAGATGAAAGAGTAATATAAGATATAACATACTGTATTTACATTTATTGCAGTGTGGTTTAAACTCACACTGCAATTGAGATTGTCAAATAATCACTGATCCCTTGGCTAACTGAGTGGCCTTGATTTCCTTATTCAAAGTTTTGCACAGAAGCTATTGGTTTTTTTATTTTATACATTTATGGAAAAACAAGGAAAATCGGATCCGTCTTTTGAAGAAAATGCATTTCTGAGTACGTTCCAAGCGCATGATTCTTGATCTAATATGATTTGTGAATGTACGCAATAATTTACGGGTATACTTGGTGATCTAAAAGTAATAAAATATTTACCACATCCCCGATCTACGTCTCAAACTGCAAACTCTTCAGCAGTACGGTACTTTTGCGAGCGTAAGCATTTAAATTTCAGTCAAATGCTTTCCATTAAAAACGAGGAATAAAAAGCTAGGTGGATACTGAAATTGCTGCTCTCAGGCCTGCATGTGCAGTTCCATTATTATTTATTTACAATTTTCTCAGTGCTTTATTCATTTCCGGGACTTATCAAGTGAGTTTGATCCTTTGAGAAGAGCGTATAGTTGAAACAAAAAAAGTATTGCCACTGCCGAGCGAAATCGGGAACACAGCATGAACTTATTTCCATTAATTTATACATTTGCTACAACAACGTGTCACTTGTTAAATCGTACTGTATAATGTTTACCGCAATAGGCACCATAGTCACCATGGCATGGATTTGAATTTTCAATCAATTTACAGTATAAATGATTTCGCGTGCGGGTCAAGGAGGGAAAAAAAATCAAAATATCATGCAGTATCTACAAAGAGGATTGGTGGGATTTAATTTCTTGGACGCATGCAATAAGTTGCGGGTACCTCGGGGTCTTTGGAAAGTGTCGACCTGCGTTTGATCTCAGTCATTATGGCACTGGCAAGACTGCCTGTTTCCGAACACGACGACGACGGCGACGGCGACGGCGGAGTCGTGGCACTGCTCAACGCCGTCTCCGACGAGTAGGACTTTCTCAGCGACTCCTTCTCTTCCTGTGGATGTGATTACATTTTCTTTTTTTTGTTGTTCTTTTCGTTTCTTTTGCTCTCTCTCTCTCTCTCTCTCTTTCGGTTGATCATGCATATGGCGGGGATCGGGACAGATGAGAAAAGCGGAGCCAGAAAAGCGGCACAAATAAAAGGACGAAAAAGAAAAACTGTTGCGAAAAAAAAACCGTGTTTGCTGTTTTCAGGAAGCAAACATTTGCGCCGATTCATCTCTGAGATTTTTTCTTGCTTTGCTCTGTTTTGTTTTGTTTCGTTGTTCCCTCTCGATCGGTGTGAATGGCGATGATCATGCAGTGATTGATTTCGTTGGAATTTCCGGGGAGACTGGACCCACCCAAATTCTAAGCACCGGAAGCAGAGAGGCGTGACCGAAGTCTGCTGTAGCTTCGCCGGGCGTCGAATTCATCAACAATTGATTTAATTTCAATTGTACCAGTCGTATTCTTACAGTCAACAGTTTCGAAGCGGCAGGTGCACAGCATTCAAAGCCCGTAAAAACGTCGTGGACTCAGAAAAGAAATACTTCACCCCGTACAGTACAGTATTTCCTCGTATTAAACTTCCAAAAAAAAAGGAATATTTTGAGTCATTATCGAAAACGACTGAAAACCTTGAAGTATCAGATGCGTCTCTTACATGAGTATACCGTATCATTTCCGCCTTTTCTCGATGTAATTTTCAAAACTCCGGTAATTATCAACGAATAGAGCTTTTAATTTATCATGAAGCATTTCTTTCAATCGCAATTTACGCATTGTTTACCGTTCTTTTGACGCATTTGACAAAAAAAAGATGGATCTCGTAAAATATGAGTGAAATCTTACTGTTTCTGCGAACTGAAACGGTTCAAAGCATCTCCACACGCGAACTAGCGATTTAATACAACGGAAGAAGAAATTTGTCCAACAATAATGGGTTAGACCTTCGTTTTTTAACTGGAAACATTTTAAATTATACTTGTCACAGCCGCGGAGTTCATTAGATGCTTCTAAATCAATAAGTTAAAAATGTGGTTATTTTTAAAACCTTATGAAATTGATGTTATAAGCAGCTGCTTGAGAAGAACCTTCAAATACCGTAATTTAGGCAATCACAGCCGATAAAAATGTGTGTCCATATTTTATGCTTATATATTGTCTTGAACAATCATGGTATCCACAACATTTGGGGTGAATTTAATTTTTCTTCAAACAAAAATGTTGAGAAAAATTCTCGGACGAAATCAAATATTAAATTTAAAAAAATCATTATCTCACATAATGGTTATGTGAGTTACCTTTTTTTTCCCGCTAAGGAATGCTGTAATGTACCGTACAGTAATTGTTGAACGTTTTTTTTTTTTTTTTTTTTTTTTTTT